AAAACCCCAAGTTAGAACATAACTCCCACCTAGTGGATGCTTGCAGTTAAGACACAATAAAGGAAGTGGAAGTTTTGCTGAATCTCACTTCTTCATCCCCAATGGGAGAGGCTCTGGAGTAAGTTTTCTGGGGCTCCCTGAACAAACAATCTTCCAGGAAATCCAGGATATCCTCATCCATCCGAATGTATATTCCAGAGACTGGCCTTCACCTCACCCCTCACTGTTACTAGACGGAAGAAAATAGGTTATAAATGTTTTACACTGTCTGTCTGCCCTCATATTCACAGCCTCACCTCCCCCAAATACTGTCTGTGGTGGTATTTCCATGTTGATCTCCACTGTGGCCACAAGAGAACCAGCCAGGGAAGTAGTTAAAACTACAGATGAGCAAACTATGTATTCTGTTATTTAGCCATAAAAAATTAGGAAATCTTGCCATTTGCGACAACATGGATGGACCTTGAGGGGATTATGCTAAGTGAAATAAATCAGAGGAAGACAAGACTTGATCCCAGAACCCTGGGATCATGACCTGAGCCTAAGGCAGACGCTTAACTGACTGAGCCACTCAGCACCCCCGCCCCCGGTACCTACTGCTTTAAAACAAAAGCCTGGTTTCTAATGAGTTGTCATGTGGAAATTTGCAGTGAGACAAAAATGAAGCCAAGTTATTTCTTACTGTTCCAAAATCTCAGTATGCAAGTCTCTGAAATATTTGGCTAATATAAGGATGTTCTGACTTTATTGTCAGACACTTCATGAAATTCCTACAAAGATAAAAACAATGGAAAGACACTATGAAATCTTATTGTTCAAATATAGTAAGTGATGATTACCAAGTACCTGGGTTAGACACTTTTTCTCAATTAGGTATCACAGTCAGAACAAAGGAAAGTGATGCTGATGTTTATTCACATACTATAGTACTTTCTGAAATTGTAATATCTCATACATATTGTATGTATGTAAGATAGAAAACAAAATAAGTGAAGACTCCCATCCACCACTAGGCTTCAGAGAGATAATACTATCGACGCTGGGAAAGCCTTTTCTTTGCCTTCTCCGACCAAATTCCCCTTTCACACCAACAAGTAACTAATATCCTAAAATTTTGTTTAGTATTCCCCTACTATTCTTTATAGTTTTACTATATATGTATCTCTAAGGAACTTATTTGATTATAACATTTATTTATTTCTTTTTTCAAGTAATCTCTACTTGCCCAAGGTGGAGCTTGAACTCACGACCCCAAGATCAAGAGTTGCATGTGCATGCTCTTCCTACTGAGCCAGCCAGATGCTCCTTTTTATACCATTTAATTTTTACACTGTATTCTGTGACCAGACTTTTCAACCAACATTATGCTTGTGAGATTCAATCATACTGATAAACACAGCTCCAGCTCATTTCTTTTCCCTGTGGAATAGTGTCCCATTGATGAACATGTGGTTTCCGCCTCAGCATATGTAAAACATAAAATAATTAGCGCGCTCTCTCTTTTGTAAAAGGAACTACCCTTATTCTTTTTTTCCTCTTTTCTCTTTTTTAAGTAAGTTCTGTGCTCAATGTGGGGCTTAAACTCATGACCCCAAGATCAAGAGTCACACGCTTTACTGACTGAGCCAGCCAGGTGCTCCAAACTATCCTTATTCTTATTCCACAGTCACGAATAAGCCTAAGTAAATAGGAATTTGAACCCTTTCAGAAATATTGGGAAAGAGTCATATATTTCCCTCTATACCCTCATTCATTCTCATCCAAAAAAATAGGTTGCAGAGAGTATAGTGATCCATATACTACTCCAGTTATAAGGATACCGCACTGTTGTGATGCAAAATACAAATGTTGGAATTTCTTATGGGAAGTCTACGTACTAAAAATCATATAAATTACTTTGCTGAGTATACCTTTGGGTATAGTTTTGACTTCTGGAGCCATGCTAATGTTTTGCATATAAAAAAATAACATCAACAAGGATAGGTACAAAAATTCTAAGACAGAATACAAACAGAAAATAACTAATCTGATTTTATTATTCATAATCACTCCAATGTAATTTTTAAAACTGTCCCAAGTAACTTTATTTATTTTTTAGTAATCTCTACACCCCATGTAAGGCTTAAACTCATGACCTCAAGATCGAGTTGCACGATCTACCAACTGAGCCAGCCAGATGTAAATTAGATAATAGTATCGAATCAATGTTCCTGATTTTAATAGTTATACTGTGATTATATTGGAGAATGTCCTTGTTCTCAGTATTTACACACTGAAGAGGCATCTATCTGAAACTCTCTCTCAAATGGCTGAGAAAAACAAAATAATATGTATGTGTGTATACATGCAAAGAGAATATAATAAAGCAAATGCAGTAAAACGTTAACACCTGGGTAATCTGGATGAAAAGCACTCTATGGGGTACCTGCGTGGCTCAGTCGGTGAAGCATCTGACTCTTGATTTTGGCTCAGGTCATGATCTTAGGGCTGCAAGACCGAGCCCCAAGCCCCATTTTGGGCTCTGCACTGGGCATGGAACCTGCTTAGGATTTTCTCTCCCTCTCCCTCTTGCCCCTCCCCCAATCGCTTGTGCACTCTCTAAAAAAAATTTTTTTTAAGTTCTTTGTAACTATTCTTACAACTTTTCTGTAATTTTGAAATCAGTTCAAAATATAGTTACAAAACATATATTCACCTCTCACCTATAAATATACTTACACATATAGCTCAAAAAGTCACAATTTTCAAAGCTCAAAAAGCATGTTCCATGATATTATCAGGAAATAAACACCTAGATACATAACTGAAATTGTTGGTAACTTCTCTTATTCTGAATGTTCCATTTATACACTTACTTAAAAAGGCTCATACTCCACAGTGAACACTGATGTCTTCTTCACACCGAAAGCCTTTTGAAATATTTTCTTTATCAACATGGTAGTCACAGCAAGAACATGACTTACTTTATAAAATTACTTCTAGAGGAAATGATCCCAAATTATTGACCTGGCTTAATTTTTCCTAAATATAAGTTCTTATACACAATTAGAGTTGCATTTCATGGTGTAGTCAGCCCCACGCTTTTAAAAACTTATTTAATTTTTACTTTTTTAAATATTTGAGAAAGAGAGAGTGCATGAGCAAGTGCACAAGCAAGCGCACGAGTCAGGGGGAGGGGCAGAGAGAGAGGGAGAAGCAGACTCCTGCTGAGCAGGGAACCTGATGCAGGGCTCGTCCCTGGACCCTGGGATCATGACCTGAGCCAAAGGCAGATGCTTAACTGACTAAGCCACCCAGATGCCCCACTTTTTTTTTTTTAAAGATTTATTTATTTGAGAGAAAGAGCATGAATGGGGGGAGGGGCAGAGGGAAAGAATCTCAAGCAGACTCCCCACCTAGCATGGAACCTGACATGGGACTCCATCTCACGACCCTGAGATCATGACCTGAGCCAAAACCAAGTATGATGCTCAACCGACTGAACCACTCAGGCACCCCCTTCTTAAAAAAATTAATTTAGTTTAGAAAGAGAGAAGGGGAGGAGGGGGAGAGGGAGAGAGAATCCCAAGCAGACTCCCCGCTGAGCATGGAGCCCAAGGCAGGGCTTGATCTCACAACCCTGAGATCATGACCCAAGCAGAAATCAAGAGTAGGGTACTTAAGCAACTGAGCCACCCAGGTGCCCCACAGGTTTGCATTCTTACATGTATTATCTGTAGACATTTTTTTTCATAATCAGAAAAGGTTTTCAAAAAAAAAGGTTTTCAAGTATTTTATGGCAGAGTTATTCCTTAGTGTAAATTCTCTAATATCACATGCTTCTGACTTTCAATAAAAGATTTTCCTCACATTCATTACTCTTCTATGATTCACTCTGGCGTAAACTCTCCAATGCATCTGAAATTTGGTTTCTCAATGAAAATATTGCAACATTCCTCCCCTGTGTACAGTTTCTTTCCCCTATGGGTTTCTGTGTGAAAACTTCTGCACATTTGCTAAATTCAGTTTCTCTCGTGTATGCCTTCTGATGAATGATTGCACTGCAGGTTATTACTGAAGATTTTTGTCATATTTATCTACGGCACTAGATTTCTCTCTCATTTAATTCTCAATGAAAGTAAACATCTGACTGGAAGCTTTTCTTTAGTCACCATAAGAACTGCCTCCCATACGCCTGCTATCTCATGTTGGAATGGCCTCCTTAAATGCTTTTTCATTTTCACCATATCCATCTTATCCATCTGATTTCTCTACTATATGACACTGGGCATGGAACCTGACTACTATGTGACTTGACATCAAAGGATTTCACACATTCACTGCATTGTAGGGTCTCTCTCCTGTATGTGTTCTTTGATTAGGCCAGGTTTCCAGGTGAAAGCTTTTCCACATTCACTACATACACAGGGCCTTTCTCCTGTATGGTGCATAATGAGTGGGGGACTTATGGCTAAAGGCTTTCTGACAATCACTGCGTTCATATGGCTCTTCTCCTGTATGGGTTCTTTAATATACAGGGAGTTGTGACTTCTGTGAGAAAACTTTCCCACAACCACTGCATCCATAGGGTTTCTCTCCCCTGTGTGTTCTCTGGTATATAATGAGTGGTGATTTGGTGCCGAAGGCTTTCCAATTCACCACATCAGAAAGGCTCCCCCGCCCCCCGCCCCAGTATGAACTCTCTGAGGTAAAACGCATTCTGACTGCCACACGAAAGCTTTCTGACTTCGATTGCATTTATAAGGTTTCTCCCCAGTATGAATTCTCTGATGTAAAGTGAGCTCTGACTTCTGGATGAAAGTCTTTGGACATTCTTTACGTGAACAGGGTTTTTCTCCAGTGTGAGTTCTTTGGTCTTCAAGGAGCTGTGACCTGCAGATGAAAACTTTTGACACTGACTGAATTCATTGGGCTTTTCTCCTGTACGCGTTTTATGATGTAAAGTGAAACTAAACTTAAGAAAGTTCTTCCACATTCTTTACATCCACAGGGTCTCTCACCTGTATGAGTTCTCTCACACTTAATGAGGTGTGGCTTACTAATGAAGGTTTGCCAACATTCATTACATTCATAGGGTTTCTCTCTGGTGTGAGTTCTCTGATGCAAAATCAGGGTAGATTTGTGGGGGAAGGCTTTCCCACACTCACTCACTGCATTCATAGGGTTTCTCTCCTGTGTGACACCTCTGGTGTAGAGTGAGCTGAGACTTACTACTAAAAGCCTTTGGACATTCTCTGCACTCATAAGGCTTCTCTCCTATGTGAGTTCTTTGATGTAAAATAAGCTCTGTCTTCCGAATAAAAGCTTTCAGACACTCATCGCATTCATGTATTTTCTCTCCTGTGTGAATTCTCTGGTGTACCATGAACTGTGATTTCTGTGAGAAAAATTTTCTGCATTCACTGCATCCAGAGTTTCTCTCCTTTGTTACTTCTCAGTGTAGAAGGAGTTGTGACATATGGTTAAAAGATCTTTGACATTCACTACATTTATAAAATCTCATTTCTATATGACTCATTGAGGCACAGTGTCTTACTGACAGCTTCTCCACAATCATATTCATAGCAATTCCAGAATGAGAGTTTTTGTGCATAGTGTGGAAAAATAACTTTTCAGGTTTTTTACTTATATAATTTCTGTTCTGGAAAAGTCAGTCTAAATTATGTTTCAAAGTTTTTCCATTTGAGTCAAATTGATCAAAGTCTTTTCACAGGTGAAATATTTTGCTGAATACATCACATTCCTGGTGCCTCTCCCAAGGGATCCAGGCTGTCAGAGTTTTCCCAAATCCCAATCTATACCATCATCAGCTTGCCAGGTGTCTTCTATGAAGGAGACCAATGAATGTGTATATGATTAGGTACTGGAAGGGGCCAACTCTCATAACAAGGATCAAGGGATCAAGGAAAGAAATGATGTTCTGGAAATAGAATACAAGTTAGAGGCATCCATTAGAAGGTGAAGAGAAAATAGAAGGGAAGCAGAGCAACAAAGAAGTCATGGTTATGGGGAAAAATCCATGTGTATGTGAAAGCGTAATTCTGATCACAGGTGAGACGCTGAGTAGGAGGAAGGCAACGTGAGCAGTGTTGGTGATAAAGAGTGAAGATGCTAGAAAGAGAGAATAACCAAGAAAGCCGGGTCCTAGCTAAGTTGCAGATCTGACACAGAGGGCAAAGACATAAATGGCCTATGTCCTTCTTTTTTTAAAAAAGTTTATTTTTTTTTAGTAATCTGTACCTGCAAAGTGGGGCCTGAACTCACGACCCCGAGATCAAGAGACACATACTCTACTTACTGAGCCAGCCAGGTGCCTCAAGGGTTTAAGGGTTTTTAAGTAGTATTCTCAAAATAACCTATCAAAGGTTCTAGTTCCTTAGGCTTTCACTCACGGACCTGGCTTTTATCCACTCACCTAGATGGCCCTTACTGCTGATTTCTCCCTCTATAACCCATGACTCCCTGTTCCAGATGGAGGACTGCTGCTAGTCTGGAAGCCTAACAATCCGCATATGGATAAACACGGTGCCAATAGCTTGGTCTTTGGAACCTCTGAAGAAGTAGAAAGGGACTGTTTCAGGCCGCCTGGGTGGCTCAGTTGGTTAAGCGACTGCCTTCGGCTCAGGTCATGATCCTGGAGTCCCGGGATCGAGTCCCGCATCGGGCTCCCTGCTCAGCAGGGAGTCTGCTTCTCCCTCTGACCTCCCCCCATCTTGTGCTCTCTCTCTCTCATTCTCTGACAAATAAATAAATAAATAAATAAATAAAATCTTAAAAAAAAAAAGAAAGGGACTGTTTCAGAGTTAGCACCTCAGGAAAGTGAAAAACTTTCATTTGAGAGGTGAGAGCAAGATCCCCTCTCCAGGTTCAGACAGACACAAAGGTTCTACCATCCATAAATCATAAGTTCAAAGACGTTAAACATTTCAGAAAGCTTATAAATTCCAGCAGTTAAGAAAGGAATGGCAATAGGCTGAGGGTTCACCAAGGGTCCTTACCAACAGACACGAGGTTGCTATAATTTTCCAACATTACATCCCAGTATAGGTTCTTCTGAACAGCATCCAGGAGCTGCCACTCCTCTGATGTGAAGTCCACAACCACATCCTTAAATGACAATGTTACCTGTAAAAGCATACTCGTTTCAAGTGATTTTTCACTCGGTGATATGGAAAAAATGCATATGAATTTATTATGATCATTTTCACAATACATTATATATCCAAGGGTTGATGAATCTCGTTTTACCCTTACGGAAGAAACTTAAAACTCATTAAACATATCATGCCATTCAAAAATCAACTAACGTAACTCACCAGATTGACAGAATCAAGGATAAAAATCACATCATCATGTCAATGGATGTCAAACAGGTGAGAATACATATGTCAAAACTACCAAATGGTTAAGATTTGGATGTTTTGTTGTATATAAATTTTATATCAAAATAAATAAAAGTACTATAAATACATATTAAACAATAAGGTAATGATATACATGCTGGAGTATTTAGGGAGCAGTTTGCTAATGTTTGCAATTTACTTTGAAATACATGAAAAAACAAGGGAGAAAGGGATGGCTAAATGGAGAGGTATGTTCTTCTGATATTCTGAGACTCAATTTCCAACATGGCAGGGTGATGGTTTCTTCATAACAAAAAAAAGCAATTCTTGGGACACCAGTGCAGTGTCCTACAATTCAGCTCAATTCTGACATTATCTACCTGCAGACAGCATCAGATTCCACCGTTTGAGGGTTCAGTCCCACAAGACTGCCCTTCCCCTCTCCCATTTCAGATGCCAGTCACAAGTCCAGATTGTCATCTGTACTTCTGATCGACTGGCTATCAATCAGAGGTTCCCACAATTTCCTCCTCAGGTTCAATTAATTTGTTAGAGCAGCTCAAAGAACTCAGAGAAACATTTTACTTTTTAGATCACCAGTTTACCGTAAAAGGATATAGCACAGGAACAGCCAGATGGAAGAGATGCATAGGGCCAGGTATGGGGAAAGGGTAAGGGGCTTCCATGCACTCTCCAGGTGCACCACTCCCCCAGTCTCCACTTGTTCACCAACCTGGAAGCTGTCCGAACACTGTCCTTACGGGTTTTTATGGAGGCTTCGTTGCACAGCCATGACTGATTGAATCACTGGCCGCAGGCAACTGATTCAAACTCTTGCCCTTTTCCTACTCCCTCATGTCGGGGGTGTGACTGCAAGTTCCAACCCTCTAATCGCATGGTTGATTCTCCTGGCAACCAGCCCTCATCCTTGGATGCTTCCAAAAGTAATTGTTCACATCACAAAAGATACTGTTATCACTCTCAACATTTAGAAAATTCCAAGGATTTTGGAAGCTATAAGCCAGGAACTGTGGACAAGACCAAATATAGATGAGAAGTGTATTTTGGTTGTCTGAATGACCAAATGTACATTTCTTATGACTCACAACATCACATGGGTGATAAAGCAAGTGCAGTAAAATGTTAATTACAGAATCTAGCTGGTTGGTATATGAGTGTTCACCGTAAAATTCTTTCAACTTTTCTGTACACCTGAAATTTTTATAACAAAACTTCAGGAAAACACTAGAAAAAAAAGCATATAATAAAACTTAACACCCTTTAATGATGAAAACTCTTAGCAAATTAGGAATATAAGTAATCTGCCTTAATCTGAAAAATAGTACAAAACCTAAATAATAAATAAACCTAATAATATAAAACCTCAAAGCAAACGTTACACTCAATGGTGAATTATTAAAAGTTTCTGCACTGAGACAATGAGACATGGATGCCTATCACCATTTCTATTCAAATGGTACTGAAGAGCCTAGCCAATGCAATTGGGCAAGAAAAAGAAATAAGAGGCAAAAATATTAGAAAGGAAGAAATTTATCATTGACAGAGGACATGATTTTGAATGTAGAAAATCCGTAAGAATTATAAACTATTAGAATTCATAAATGAATTTCTCAATGTCACTGGCCATAGGATCAGTAGTGATAAATCAACTGCATTTCATTTTTAAAAAAGATTTATTTATCTACTTTAGAGAGAGGGAGAGAGAGAGAGCAGAGGAAGAAGCAGAGGGAGAGGGAGAGAAGCAGACTCCCTGCTGAGAGGGGAGCCTGACACGAGGCTCGATCCCACAACCCCAAGATCATGACCTGAGCCAAAACCAAGAGTCGGACGCTCAACTGCCCCAATCAACTGTATTTCAATATACTAGTAGCCAACTACTAGAAAATGAAATTAAATAATAATACCATGCATAATAACATCAAAACAGCAAATGCCTAGAAATAATTCTTGAAAAATTTGCAAGACCTCAATACTGAAAACCACAAAACTCTACTGAAACACATTAAAGAAAACATGAATGAATCCAAGAAAATGCCATGTTCCTGGATTACAAAATTCCATGATATAGGGGCATCTGGGGAGCCAACTGGTTGAGTGTCTGACTCTTGGTTTTGGCTCAGGTCATGATCTCATGGGTCATGGGATCAAGGCCTGTGTTGGGCTCTGCGCTCAGCAGGGAGTCTGCTTGAGATTCTCTCCCTCTGTCCCTCTCCCCACTTGCACTCACGTGCTCGCTCTCTCTTCCTCACCCCCTTTCTAAATAAATAAATTTTTAAAATCTTAAAAGAGAAAATTCCACAGTATAAAAATATTGATTATCCCCCAAATTGATAGAGCCAAGCAACTGGATAAAACCAATATCCTAGGAGGTGTTTCCTAAGAGGAAACTGACAAGCTGCTTCTAAAATTTTTAAGAAAATACTAAGGGCCAAAGCAACAAAGCAATCTGGAGAAGGGCCTGCAAGACAGCAAGAATGTTAGCAAGAAGAACAGTGAGGAGGCAGCTGCAGTGGTCCAAGTGACCAATGATGATGGCTCTGGCTAGGGTGGTGCTGTGGCAATGAAGAGGGGCAGATCTGAGCTCTACTTCGTAAACAGAAGCAACAGGATTTGCCCTCGGGTGATGGGAAAGACAGAGATTAATAAAAGTGTGAGAAATGGAGACATGCCCATTGGCTTCTGTATCGTTTATGGCTGCTGTTGTGCTGTGTGGCAGAGTCGAGAAGTTGCAACAGAGACTATCTGGCCCACAAAGGCTTATCATCTTGCCCTTTACGGAAGTTTGCTGATCCCTCATCTGAGAAGCTAGGAGAGGCTATTAACTGAAAGAAGGAAACTACGGAAGGAACAGGTTTCAGGTGAGATTAGGAACTTGGTTTGGGAAATGATTAGCTGGACACACCTGTAGAGATGTGTACCTTAGAGATGTCAGGGAGACAGTACGATATAGGAGGTGATGCTTAAGGAAGAAGTGCAGGCTGGACATACAAAGAGGAAGCCATCACCATACCAG